AGTTGAGGTAGGGGATGGGAGGGATATTTTGGAGGGATGGGAAGGGATGGGAAGGGATGGGAAGGAATGGGAAGGGATGGGAAGGGGATGTGTGCATCATGTATGTTTTTTTTTGGTTTGTTTCTGGTTGCTGTGTGTCTGGCGTTGTTGTTGAAGTTTTTATGAGACAGGGAGGAAAGCGTGGGATGATGATGGGATACCCCTTTTTTTTTCTTTTTTTTTTCTTTTTTTTACATTTGATATTTGTAGGGCTAGCAGCACGAAGCGAGCGTTTGTTCACCATGGCATTTGGGGTGGGAAATTTGAGAGGGACAAATGGGTGTATTAAATTACAATGGGGGGGGTGATGTAGTTTTGTGGCTTGTGGTAATATAGCTGGGAGTTGTTGTTGAAGTTGACTTGGTGAACCGACAGGCATGGTGGATGCTGCAGGTGGTTTGGGGCTACTAAGAACATCCCTTTTGAGAAACATTTTAGCGTGAAAGAAGGTGGTGTTTGTCGAGAGTCTCGCCACTATCCTCGGGCTGGTGATGTTTCCGAGATTCCCCTCCCAATCCACGGCCCGACACCAACGCTGAGCAACCTTCCCGAAGATCCCCACTCCCTCCTTGCCAAGCCATCGCACCAGCGCTATTCCTAATCAGATCCGTCCGCGCATTCGTTCAGCAACGAAGCCAGCAGCAGCTTTGTCTCAGCTGCTTCTGAAAACTAGTCTATCGGAGAGACAGGAACGGGGTGAATAAAGTCATCATCTTTTTTTCTCTCCTCTGCGCAAGTTTTTATCTTATTAATTAATCTTCGAAAGTACATCGAATCTACCCTCCGTAACAAACATTCATTTAATTTTAGTGGCATCGGGTGGTCGTTGTTGCAACCTGGCCGCTTCTGCTTTGTTACTGCTGCTGCTGCTGCTGCTGCCCCTCAATCCTATCCTCGGACAGAAGATTATTACGGATATTCCGTCATCCTTTCTGCGAGCTTCACAACTTTTCCTTTTGCACAACGGGTACTTTTTAAGTTTTGCGCCGCCGCCGCCGGAGACAGGTGTTGCATTTTGTTGGAGCTTGCGACAAGTGTTGGTGACTGAAACTTGCTTACTTACCGACGAGATCCTATTTAACCTACCTATCACCTATTGATCAAACGGCGATATCATTACCCTCCCAACAACACACGCGACACCACCTACTACCTATCAACACCTCCTCTCACCATCCTCAACCATGCCGACCCCAGCAACCCCCAAAATAAACTCCAAATCCCCCACCATCCGCCGCATTTGTATGTTTTTCCCCCCCACCCAATCCTCTCTCCCTTTCCCGTCACTGACCCTCCTTGCGTTGTGTGTGCAGTAAAAGAAGCCCAAGAACTAACCAACCACCCCTCCCCCTTCTTCCTCGCCTCCCCCCTCGAAACCGACCTCTTCGAATGGCACTTCACCCTGTTAGGCCCCCCCTCCTCCCCCTACGAGAACGGGCTCTACCACGGCCGTATCAACCTCCCGCCTTCCTACCCCCTCCGCCCGCCTAGCTTCCGATTCCTGACCCCCTCCGGCAGATTCGAAGTAAACAGGGAAATCTGCCTCAGCATCAGCGGCCATCACGAAGAGACGTGGCAGCCTGCTTGGGGGATTAGGACAGCCTTGGTTGCGTTACGGTCGTTTATGGAGACGGATGTCAAGGGGCAATTAGGGGGGTTGGAAGCGGGAAGCGAAGTGAGGAGACGGTTGGCGGGGGAGTCAAGGGGGTGGGTTTGTGGGGTGGGTTG